TAAAAATCTACCTGCCATGCGGGGAGGGTGGGATATAAGTCGAATAAAATAAACATAAATAAAATAAATAAATAATCTAATAAAGAAATAAGTTATAAGCTATTTTTTCATGGACACCTAGGGGGTTCTCTGAGGAGACAGGCACCTCAAAACTAAATGCAGACGCGACCCTTTTGTTGCCCTCATGAAAGACACCTTGTAATGTATTCAATAGCTGCAATTGAATGCATAATTGTATGTGAACAACATAATTGAAATGCTATGTTAAGCTTCGTCCTGGGCTAGGATCCTAATACATCCAATCACATTACATAAGAACATAAGAACATAAGAGAACATAAGAGACGCCAATGTTGGATCAGGCCAAAGGCCCATCCAGTGTCACACAGTGGCCAGAAATACCAGTGCCATCAGGAGGTCCAGCAGTGGGGCTAGGACATTAGAAGCCCTCCCACTGTTGACCCCCCCCCAAGCACCAAGAAGACAGAGCATCACTTGCCCCAGAGCCCCTAGCTATACCTTGTGGCTAATAGCCACTGATGGACCTCTGCTCCATATGCTTATCTAATTCCCTTTTGAAGCCGTCCATGCTTGTAGCACCCACCACTTCCTGTGGCAGTGAATTCCATGTGTTCCATGTGTTCCATGAATTCCAGTGAATTCCACATTGCTAGCCCAGGAAGAACCTAACCAATCACTTCTCAGCAAGCTCCCTGAGCGGGAACGTCCGTGATTGGTCCTTATGTATACAACCTTATTGGTTGGTAATTGTACAGTAGGCGTGGCTACATTAGCTGGGAGAGTTTAAAAGCAGGACAGCTGCAATGTAAAAGCTGTTCTGGCTATCAGATGTTGATACGTGTCGGAGTTATGTTCGAGTTGCTGAATAAAGCTCATCTTTTGCTGAATCACTCTCCAACTACTTTGTTAAGTGAGCGACTTAACACACCTGATCACAAAGGTTGCTCTGAGAGTGAGCAAGCCCCAGGGGCCTGGAAGGAATGGTGGGGTGGGGGACAAAGGTGGACCCCTTCGCCTCAACTCCACTGTTTTATAAGATCTGCGGAGATGTGAGCTGGTCAGCTTCTGCTCTCTTGGTGGCTTTTTTACTGTCATCCGGCTCTCACCATGGTTGGCCTGCTGGAGCATCCTAAACAGACTTATTGGGGGGGGGGGAATAGGTAAATTACAGAATTGTATTTTTTTTAAGCTCACAATGATTGATAACCCAAGATGGGTACAGGCTTGTGGTTCTTAAGGTGTTCATGGTCTCTGACTGCCAAGGAGCACAGCACTCATTTTAGCATCTGCAGTAGCAAACAAGTCTGAAGACTGATCTCCTGGAATTATGAACGCCTACGGACTCGACTGTGTGACTGAACAACAACATGGAGTCCTCAGCAAGAGTGAATGGGTGGGGATCAGGCCACAAACCAATTCATGTTTTGGTCTTAACACAGGTTGCTACTTGCTTAATGCAACATTAATGAGGCTCTGCTGCAATACCTTATTAACGTTACAGTAATTAATGATTCAGGTCTAGTGAAAAAAATCCTGGCTATTTAGAAGTAGCAGCCACATCCTTAGTGCCGGAGAGAGAGGACCGGGGACCGGACCAGAGCAAGACGTTTCACTGTTCTACCAGTGCAAGGACACACTTTCACTCAAACACTTTCATTCATTCCTGAGCGACAGGATCAGAGAGCTTAAAATCCGTGGTCCTTCTCCTTGGCTTGCATTTACATTTACCTTCAGCCAGCAGAGACACACGACTACTGTGTGGCCTGTGCATCACCCACCAAACACACACTTCCAATAAGACAAGATATAACTAAGTTTGAGTCCAGTGGCACCTTTAAGACCAACGCAGTTTAATTCTGGGTAATATGAAATATATAGCTCTACACTTTTAGACTACAATAGTACCTCTGAGCATGTAGGGTTGTCTCCCTCCACACACACACTGTTGGCACTCCACCAGCCCCCGGGTGTTGGACGTGAACAGAAGGGCTTCCCTCTCTGCCTCCCGTTCTCCCCTCAGCCTGGGGCATGGCGGACTGGGGGAGAGAGTGAGACTGCCAAGGGCACCCAGGGGAAAGGAGAATAAAGTTGCCCCCTCACACAGACGGTGGCCAGTTCCCTCTTTCCCCAGGTGGTGGCAGTAGTGGTTTTACTCTCTCCTCTTGGCAGCCATTTTGCTCTCCTCCCAACAGGAGCCCAGGCAGGTGCTGGAATGAGTGTGTGGAGGCTGCAGAGGAAAGGGGGGCTGATGGAGAGGATAGGCCATTTACTTACACCCTGGCACCAGGCTCACAGCTTTGAGAGACTGGCAATTCACCTGTCGCCCATTCCCTGCAGCGCTTCAAGGCGGGAACCTCCTGCCAGCCACAAGGCCCACTGGGCAACCACCTTTGCCCCTGCCAGCATCAAAAGCCCTCCAGAATAATGCCAACTTAACCACTTGCAGAATGTAAGCAGGGTGGGAGCCTTCCTAACCAGGGCTATTCCACACAACAGGAGCACTTATCGAGAAAGCCCCAGATCTATAGAAAAAACACCCAGGCACAGCCCCTTACCACTTTGTTGTTATTCAGTCGCTCAGTTCAGTCCCACTCTTCGCAACCCCATGGACCACATCACGCCAGGCCCTTCTGTCTTCTGTCATGCTCTAGAGTTTGCTCAACTTCATGTTCGTTGCATCTATGACACTGTCTGACCATCTCATCCTTTGCCCTCCCCGTCTTCTTTGACGTTCAGTCTTTCCCAGCCTCAGGGTCTTCTCCAATGAGTGCTCCCTTCTCATTGAGTGGCCAAAGTATTTGAGCTTCAGTTTCAATATCTGGCCTTCCAGGGAACAGTCAGGGTTGATTTCCTTTAGGACTGACTGATTCGATCTCCTGGCAGTCCAGGGGACTCTCAAGAGTCTTCTCCAGCGCCATAATTCAAAAGCATCTATTCTTCAGTGCTCGGCCTTCCTTATAGTCCAATTCTCACAGCCATACATGACTACTGGGAACACCATCGCTTTGACCATGCAGACTTTTGTTGGCAGGGTGATGGGCAGTAACAGTAACCTTACCACTTAGATGTTCTCTAATGATCAGCAAGTATACAGCATGATAAATGCTCTGCATATGACAAGAGAAGCTGTAATGTTTCACGTGGTGATTCCGATAGAAGACACTACTCACCTGGCGCCCCAGTATACATGATGGAGAAAACGTTGATGCCGATGGTAGCCGCATAAAACACCGGCAGGGCACGAAGGCCATTGGGCACAGGATCTTCCTGTATGTGACAAAAACCAGGATGATGCATTCAGACGTATTAACACCATATGAATAATAATATGTGTGTATAGTTTCTAATTAACTTATTTATATTGTTGTAATATGATGTTTTATCATTGTTGTACATCACTCAGGGCCCTGAGTACTCAGGGATTGAGCAATTTATAAATCTAATCTATAAACAAGTAATTAAACAAGGGGGGGGGGGGGGGGGGGTGGGTAGGGGAACTGGGAGAGTCTTGTCACGCCCCACAAAACCTGAGTTCTGACTCTGTCACTGCAAGCACCAATTCAGACACACAGTCATGCAAGGGAGTTTTAAAATCATGCCAGGCAGTTCTCAGCTGAAGTGTGGAGAGACTGCAAGCCTCACCCCCCTCTGCCTCTGAAACCTCATCAAGGGTTTCCCTCAGGTCAGGAGACACTCAGGGATCACAAGCTGCATGAGAACAACTTGTGGCTGGGCCCTCCCCTCCCCATGCTGAGCTGGATTCAGAACTCCCAAGTCTGACTCAGCTCCAGTCTGCTGGTTGCATGGGCCTTGGGAAGCCGGGGTGGGTAAAGATGTGAAAACCCCGGGGTGGGGGTGGGGGGTGGGGGAAGAACCCAATTTTTTTCCTCAAGGATTTCTCCCCATTTTTTTCCAATGGAAAGATTGGGGAATTTGGTGCAGCACTAGGAAAAAACTCCTACAAAATATTTTGAGAAAACACTTTACTCTTTCCAAATGTACAGCATGGAAAATTTGAAATTTGAAAATTTTCCAATGGAAAAACTGGGAAATTTTGGAAAACACTGGGAAAAACGTTTACGTACAACATGCATACAACATTTTCAAGATTTTGTTTAAATGTAAATAATAATGGCAACAATTAATATTTTATAATGTGTCTAATACCTTATTAAAGAGTTCACTGTTCTCAATCTTATAAATTTTAGCTTAATATCCAAACATGGAGGTATTCCTACTGAATGAGACCCTATGAGAGAGTTTCTGTTCAAAGAAAGCACTTTATTGTTTACTATGGAATTTGGTTTTGATCTTTATTAACATACCGTCAGCCATCAGAGAGGCCAAAGCTCACAGTGAGCTAAAGCTGGCCAAGGAGGCTCGCTATAACAAGACACACTTCTTCAGATATGTGAGGAGCAAACACAAGATAAAAGAGGCGATGGGCTCACTGTTGGGTGAAAATGGAGAAACTCTGACAGAGGACAGAGAGAAAGCAGAAAGGCTTTGCCTCAGTTTTGCCTCAGTTTCCCCCCTAAAGAATAGAACAAGCTCATTTAGAGATGGTAGTAGGCAAGTCACAGCATCCAGGCTGCCCTGGGCCACATGGCGTGCACCCAAGAGTGCTCAAAGAACTTTCTAGGGAGCTTGCAGAGCCTTTGTCCATCCTCTTCCAGACCTCTTGGAGGACAGGAGACGTGCCACAAGACTGGAGGAGGGCAGATGTTATCCCAATTTTCAAAAAACGGAGGAGGGATGACCCAGGAAACTACAGGCCAGTCACTCTGACCTCCGTCCCAGGGAAGATTTTAAAGGGATCGATCTGAGAGCATCTAAAGAACAACTTGGTGATCTGGGGAAGCCAGCATGGATTTGTCACCAACAGGTCCTGCCAGACCAACCTCGTTTCCTTCTTTGATTGCGTGATGATCTTACTGGATTGATGGAATGAGGTTGATGTTGTTTACCAGGATTTCAGTAAAGCTTCTGACAGGTTTTCCCATGATGTTCTGATGGGTAAATTAAAGGACTGTGGACTGGACAGTAGGATAGTTAGATGGACAGGGTACTGGTTAGGGAACCACATACAGTGAGTAGTTGTAAATGGCATTTCATCTGACTGGAGGGAGGTATGTAGTGGGCTGCCGCAGGGCTTGGTTCTGGGCCCGGTACTTTTAAATATTTTTATAAATGATCTGGATGAGGGTGTGGAGAGGATACTCATTAATTTTGGAGATGACATCAAATTTTGAGGAGCAGCAAACACACCAGATAGAGATAGAATCCAATGAGATCGAAACACGCTGGAGAAGTGGGCGGATGTGAACAAGATGCAATTTAACAAGGATAAGTGCTGAGTTCTACAGCTGGGTAACAAAAATGAGGAACACGCATACTGGATGGGGGATACACTACTGAGTAGCAGTGTGTGTGAACAAGATCTTGGGGTAAGGGTGGACCACAAGTTAAATATGAGCAACCAGTGTGATGTGGTGACAAAAAAAGGCTAATGCAGTCTTGGGGTGTATCAACAGAGGCATAACATCCAAATCACGAGATCAGAGGCCCTCTGTACATGGAATTGGTCAGGCCGAACCTGGAGGCCTCACGTCAAAAAGGATGTGGACAGAATGGAGCAGGTGCAGAGGAGAGCAACAAGCATGATCGGGGGCCTGGAGACCAAGGGCCCTCCAAGGAGAGGCTGAGGGACTTGGGAATGTCGAGTCTGGAAAAAAGGGAGGCTGAGGAGGGACATGATTGCTCTCTTGAAGTATCTGAAGGGCTGTCAATCAGAGGAGGTCAGGGAGCTGTTCCAGTCGGCAGCAGAGGAGAGGACTTGCAATAATAGGTTTAAATTAAGGGCAGGAAGGTACCAGCTGGATATTAGGAAAAACATTTTGACAGTCAGAGTTGTACAACAGTGGAATCAGCTGCCTAGGGAGGTGGGGAGCTCCCTCTCACTGGCAGTCTTTAAGCAGCGTCTGGACAAACACTTGTCAGGGATACTGTAAGCTGATCCTGCACTGAGCGGGGGGGTTGGACTAGATGGCCTGTATGGCCCCCTCCAGCTATGTGATTCTATGATTCTATACATGTGCCATGGCAGCACATGATGCAACAATTTGTCATTCTTTCTCAAAAACTGGGCATACTTGCAAGTTGTCCTTGTAGAAAATGAAGATATCTACAATTGTAAAGCCCATAAATATGTCAAATAGTGCAATTTTATACACCAAGTTCTAAGCAATGTATTTTATGTTGGTCAATCAGTATAAGAAGTTAAGGCTTGATAGGAAAGTAAGTATTGCATATATTTCAATTTTCCTCAAAGAAAGGGGCGAGGGTTTCCCCCATGGCTTCAAAATCTCCATAAATTTTACACCTCTAAACCAGAGCCTGTTCGTTCCCACCAGTGCCAGCATTTGGACATCATGGCAAGGTGGGACTGACCCTTGGCACTTACCGTGAAGGGTCCTTCTATTCTCAGGAAAGGAGGACATCTTGGGTGATTCCCACCATCCTATCAGGGAGAGGCAGGAACCAAATTTTTCTTCCTCTTCCTGTGGAGTGGGAACACCCCCTTTTCAGTTCGGGAGACTCCCAGCAGCAGTACTGGATACAACTTACTCCTACTAATAAACAAGAAATGACTCCAAACATGGAATTAAAGTTTAGGCAGAACCATAGAAGGTAACGTGGAAAAAACACGAAACCCAGTAAGAACACACATAGTGAAAGAAATTGGGAGAAGAGTTAATGCATAACCATTTCAGTGGGACCTCCTGAATCGGTTCAAAGGGTGCCTTGGTGAGAACGGATAGCACCGTATTTAGTCACCATGAGGGAAATCTGGGTATTGGCAGAGGGCTGCGAAGCGAGGCTCCTCTCAGAAACCTGCATACATGTGGGTGTGTTGACAAGGAACGGCCCTTCATATGAGGAAGCACAGAAGCCAAGACTGTGACTTGCTTTCTGAGTGTTGCTGGTTTCAAACCTGATTTGAGGCCATCATGTAAGAAGTTCAAAATGGAGTGAATGGGAGGTTTCCTGGTGTCGACTGATTTCCTCCTACACCACCTATGAAAGGCTTTCCAGGTGACATTATATATCCTAATGGTGAAGCTCTTTCTGGAAGCAAGAATTGTTTCTGTCACCTCCAAAGAGTATCCAAGTTTTAAGTAAGAGCACCGTTCAAGTTTGATGCAGTCAGAAGCAGGCACTCTGGATTTGGGTGCCATACTGGCCCCTGAATGAGCATGTCTGGATATACGGGCGATAGTTGCTGTATGGTCGAAAACCAAGGACGACGAGGCCACCAGGAGAACTGCAGCCTTCTGTTGTTTTATTTTTCTCAGTACCTTTAGTATTATTGGAATGGGTGGAAAAGCATACAGTAGGCCCCTTGGCTAGGAGGCAGTCCATAGCTTCCGCTCTGTCATGATGGAACCTGGAGAAGAACCTGGGTAGTTGGTTGTTCTGATGTGAAACAAACAGATCAACTATTGGCATGTCGAAGTGTTGCAGGAAGATTTTCCTGTTCGACATCCACTCTCAGGGCAGAATCGTCTGTCTGCTGAGCCCGTCTGCTTTGGTATTTATGGCCTCTGATGTGTTCAGCTCTGATGAAGGCTAGATTCTTCTCCGCCCAGGAAAGCAACATCAGCGCTTCTTTGTGAAGGGAGGATGATCAGGATCCTCCTTGGTTGTTTATGTAAGCTTTGGCTGACACGTCGTCCATCCTCACTGATATGTGGTGTTTGTTGCCGTAGTGAAGGAGAGCAAGGCAGATCACCCTGAGTTCCAATACATTGATAGGTAACAGGGATTCCCTGTGAGACCAACGTCCCTGTGCTGTATTCTCATTCAGGGTCACTCCCCAGCCTTAGAGACTTGCATCTGCAAACAGCTGAAGTTTGCTGTCATGGTAAAACTTCTTTCCCTGGCTAAGACTGACATCCTGCATCCACCAACGTAGGGACTCCCTTATGGGCACCGGGACTTGGAGAAGGGTGTCCTGTTTCTCCATAATTTTTAGTTGATAAGCTCAGAGGAAGGACTGAAGTGATCTTGTATATAATCGGCCCCAATGAAATGCATCTGGGTTGGAAATTAGGAGACCCATCACCTTGGCTAAGATGAGTAGGGATGAAGACGCACTCTTGATGATGATTTTCACCATTTGTTTGGTCATCAGAATCTTAAGAACATAAGAGACGCCAATGTTGGATCAGGCCAAAGGCCCATCCAGTCCAACACTCTGTGTCACA